TTGTATATTTGACTCCAAGGTCCCCTGAGAACTTTATTTATATACTCAGTGTAAAAGCCTATAATAGAAATAAATGGGACTGAAGACTATATTTTATTTCTCAAATTTTAATTTATTTCATAGCTTTATCTAAATCATCTTCAATTATAAATATATGAAATCCTGAATGGCATGATGCCTTTGGAGATGCAGAGAAAAGAACTGAGGGATTTTTTAAAGTTTCGAAAAGTTCTCTGCTACTGAATTATATTACTCGCCCTCCTTCTATGCTTGAGACAGTCTTTCTATGACTTCAAACTCTGACTTAGCTTCTAGAGTTCTATATCACAGGCCTTAGCCCCCACATCCAGCTTTTACTATGAGATTCTGAATATCCATCTCCAGTAGAGAAGTTCTGTAATTAAATGAACCGAGAATTATCTTGTTTGTATCTCATAAAATGTTCTTCATTTTTGAACATGAATATCATTTTCACAAAAAATGATTGTGGATAACAACATGAATGTTCAATTTTGAAATAATCCAGAAAATTGTGAAGAAGAAATGGAAGCCACAGTCTTGGCCCACAAATACCAGCCTGCATGTAGGCTAAAGAGAGCCAGACATTCAAAACATCTACTGTGTGAAGCAGTGTAGAGAGATGTAATTATGTGACCAAATAATTTGACAATGTTTCACTGAAAGTAACTCCATTAAAATTTTAGATTTTCTTATTTAGTATTGATGTCTTTAATAGATTCTATTTATTCTACATGTGCTATTTTGTGACATTTCATACTGTATGAGTTTTTCTATAAGCACATCCTGATGTTCCTTGTCTTGGTTAATGTGCTGCTGATGCTGTGAGCCATGTGGTACTCTGATGCTGCAGGGCTGTTTTTCTTTCCACCCTTGAAATGGAACTCTCTTCTAGGTCTCTATGAACACATTGTCTTTCAAATGGTGATATCATTCCATTTCAATTGTTTTTATTCATTTATAGACTTGAACAGTAGTTTCTGTATGATAATTGTTTAGGCAGTAATTCAGTCCACTGTTGTACATCTTTGGTGTACTGATCCAACTCCATATGTCTCTGCAGTCTTCAGTCTGTAAGCACTTACCCAATGTCACATGGCAAACATGCTCCACTTGCTCTCACATGTGAGCTACAGACAGAGCCCAGACATATTGAAAGGTTTATGTAAAATTACCTTCTGGTATTGCAGACAGGATAAATGTGAAATGTCAATGGATTTGGAATTTGGCCTTAGGGGGGCCATCATCATTTTGCATAAATCTAAATCCACAAATTGAAAAGCATGTGAAAGTGTAAATATTTATTTTTAATCCCAAACATGGGAGGGTAAAAGATGCTTAGAGCACAGTGTGATTTGTCCCATTAGTCCCCATGTGTTAGACACTAAGCTGTTTCCAGTTTCTTGCTGCTGATTGGGCAAGCTACCTCACTCAACACAGCCAATGGAGCTCAAGTTTTGAATTAACATAGCTCTGGAATTGGAAATAAATTCAAGAAGACCTATGTTTACTTTACAGAAGTGATTTTCCAGATCTGTCCTTTCACCAGGAATGTGTAACCGGACCCTTTCCCTTGAGCACTCAGTAACATTGGGTATTAACATTGTCTGCAATCTTTGATATTAAGATGAATCTAAGAGTCCAACTATTGCCTTCCTTTACAATATATATCAGTTGACTATTTAAAATTTTCGTGAGCTGCATAATCAGTCACGTTATGAGTGTTTTGTTTTGAGCACTTCATTTTATTAACGTGAAAGCATTAAACTGGCAACACTTCCGTCCTAAATCTTCCAGAGTGTCCGTGTTATAGGTAATGTGGACTTCATACATAAAGCCCACATTTTCAGCTCAGTGCTTCGCCAGGTGCTTATATTTGAAGAGTTACAGTCATCACTTTACTGCTCAAAAAAAATCTTTGGACATTTTCCATAAGCAATTTGATGATCTGAGTAAATGGAAATACATAATTGTAGATGTAACTGGAGTCCTTGAATATAATTGCACTCATAAGTCAAATAAGACAATTCATAACAATTTGGTCCAGCATTTTAATTTTGTCTATTAAATTATTCATATGAATGCTTTTATAAGTTTAGCCATGAATATTTGAATGGTGGTTGATTCATAACTATAAAGTATCTTAGCCTTTTATTTTTCCCATTTACATCCAATTAACTTATATGGAAAAGTGGAGCTATTTTTCTTGATAGGAGGCACACCTTTCTTACACTGACTCACTGAGGTTGTCTGATGAACATTTACAGTAACTGGAGGTCAATATTGTGCCTGTTTTTGATAGTTTCATTAATATCCTAATAACCTTCATTATGTGGAGGGAAATTATTTTAAACCTGTCTGTGTAATTGAGGAGATGGCATTCAGAAGGACCATGACAATTTTCAAAAGTCACACAGTGTGAGTGAGGACGGATAATGCTGGACTCACATCCAGGTTTTTGAAGACTGGATTTATCCCATCCTGTTATGGTGCTCTCAAGATGCATCAGTGACTGAGGCCACTAGCCACATCGACCATATTTCTCCATATTTCTCCCTTTCTTCTTCCATACTCATCCTGTCACCAGGACAAATTTTCTGAGTAGATAATTGACGAGTTCTTTTTTTGTACCTAAATGACACTTAAAATATTTTGCCTGTTGTACACACAAATGAAAAGATACCTAATTTATGAGTGGGTGGTCAGATGTGATGTCAAAAGATGATACATAAAGGTATATTTGTGGAGCGTGACTTCTAGTGACCATGGGAGTCATAAAAATGTCACAGGACCTGCCTGGAGCACTTCAGTGCCTTGGGAAATAAAGCAGAACAAAGTTCTTTTCATCTAATAGAGCTCCTTAGTCAAAAGCCAACCAAGTCCTCAAGCCATTATCTCAAAAGTCACAACTAGAAATTCAGGAAGCTTACAACCTAATGACCTCTCAGAGCTTTGATCTCCAGTTGGTTCATGTGTGTAGCTGTCCTAGTGCAACCGCATTTAATACTGCAAATAGGTATTGTGCAGCATCACAGAAGTGAAAGTGTCATGCTTAGTTTAGTCCTTTTCTAGCACTAATGCCCCTGTATTGGCTGAGGTAAGTGCTTTATGAGAGCCACATCTGGGCCACCATTGATAATGCATTAAATATTACCACAGCCAGGCTCAGCAGCGGGGAAGTCAGAATGAACACATTCATTTGTCTGCGATTCAGATGGCTTTCTGAAGTGCTGCCAGGAAGTTGGCATTTTTAAAGTTTCCAGATAAATCTGTTGTTTAGCCTCATTTAAAATCCAGTGCTCTGAGGTCTGTGCTTTCCAGCCTGCTTGAACAGTATGATATGTAGGACTAACCATGGGTACCTTTGGGAGGCATCTTGAGTCCTTGGTAGGGGGCTGTCCTGGCCTTTCTTTCTGACCACTGTTCACTTCCTGTCCTGCCACATGCACAAGGACACCCTGTGTTCTGCATCAGAGTGATTTAGGACATACGGTATACAGATCTGCATTGCTTGCTTTGGCTGTTTGCTTGCAAACTGTTTGAACTCTCTCCTTCCTACCCAGAAAGGTTACCCTATCTGGATCACAGGACCATGTTCCATTGTGTTATCTCTTTACATGTTTATCTCAACCCATCTTTTATATGTTTATTTTTTTTTCAGGGTGGGAAACCCAAATAACCCAAATCCTGCCATACATAGGGTCATCACCTAATACCTCAGACATATAAAAGAGTGATACAGATATGAGCTTTCACACTACCATGCATCATCAGGTCTTCTGAATCTGGGCTCACACAAATCATTGATCCTTCAAAAGTGGTTTCTGTTTCCTTTTACTGTAGAACTAATTTGTTGTCCTTTTGCAAACCACATTTTACTTTGGTGCTTGTGAACAGGACAGTCAGTTCCTACAGCTGTTCTCTGATGTCACTACTTTTATTGCAAAATGCTTCATACTGGGTGTGTTTTGTTTGAAGAATCTTAGGACTTGGGAATAACTACTCATGGAGGTGACTTAGCCAGCTCATTCTTCCCATAGGACCAGGTTGAAGCCTCAGCCCTAGGTTTGCCTTTGTTTTTGTCAATGGTAGTCTTGTCAGGAAGCTGTGGCCTACTTCCCTGGGGCAGGGATTCAGAGAACGTATAGATGACTGCAGATGGTCCCCATTGAGGAATACTTGTTGAACCACACATAACTGGTCCACAGCTCACATCTTCTTTTCAGATCCTAGCTGCCACCTTACGTTGTCCTGGAGGCTGTCCACAAAGGAAGGAGGGAGGGGCAGGATTAATGAGGGCATGGCACTTTTGGCATGTTTCCCTGGAGCAGAGGTCCTGCCCTCAGGATGGAAAGAAGCTCTCTTCTCTGTAGGCGAAAGTGGAAGGCACAGGAGGAGCTGTAGCAGGTAGCATGAGGGAGAACAACTGCCATGTCTTTTCTGATATCCAACACATCCTCACAATCCACAGCTTTCACAGGAAAGGCTCAAATTAAGGGCAGAAAGAAAGAATGAGAGGGATGAGTGGAGGAAAATGGGTGCTGAAGCAAAAGCAGCTCTTCAGTACTCCTCTCCTAAGCCAGGTCAGTCAGAGGGGTTGGACTCATAGAACCTCTGGCTTCTGTCTTTGATGCTTTGAAATTCACTGATACTTGAAGCTTTGGTTCAACCAATAAGCACACTGGAGGAGGTCTTTTCCTGTTGGCCTCAGAAGGATGTCAGAGGGAACACAGTAGTAGTTCGTTCTTATGTTTAGTGTTCCCAGTCATAGTACAGTCTCCAGAAGAAGGATCTAGGAAGCCCAGAAGTGGTTGTCTGGAGAGAGAAGTTATCCTTTACTATGAATAGTATAAAGCTATTCTTTAGGAATATGGTCCAGGGTTCCTATAGAATAAAGGGAGAGATTCATGAGAGTAAGGTAGGAGTGAAGCACCCCGTCCATCTGCATCCTGCTCACCTTGTCTATCTTTCATCCTCTACAGGTGGCCCTCCTGTGAGAACTCCACCAGTATGGGCCTTATCTGAGCCCATGGGTAGCTGCCAGCTACTTCTGGAACAAGCAGTGGCACTCCTGAGGAAGCGGCTACTGCATTCACTTCGAGCCTGGAAAAGCACCACTTCAGATCTGTTACTGCCTGTGTTCTTTGTGGCTTTGGCCATGGGCCTGTTCATGGTGCAGCCTCTGGCCATCACGTACCCTCCACTCAAACTTACACCTGGCCATTATGAGAGTGCAGAGACTTACTTCTTCAGGTAAGAAACCCTTTTTTTTCTATTGATCAGAAGCTAGTTTATGGCTGTATTGTCCATATAATGTCACTTTGTGTTTTCAGGCCTGTTTGGCACCAGATAATCAGTTGGCGTGCTCTCCCTTGCATAAGACTACCTCTCCTGTTCACAGCTTTCCTCGGTTGCCTATAGTTGTTTTTAAGAGGTTAAGGCCCCATTCTTAATATTTCTGAATAACCTCCATGCTAAATTTCAAAGTGGCCAGACTAAGTTACATTCCTACCAACAGTGTTTAAGGGCTCTTTTGGTTTCCAGTCTGACCAGAATTTGTTGTTATTTGTTTCCTTAATGACTGTCATTCTGACTATGATAAAACGGAATCTCAGTTTAAGATTTCTACTTCTCTGATGGTTAGCAAAATTGAACATTTTTCATGTTTATTGATCATTTATATTTCATCTTTTGAGAGCTGTCTGCCCACCTAATAAACATGCATATTGATTGGTTGTTTATTTCCTTGTTTAGGGTTGAGTTCTTTGAGTAGTATAGACATTAATGCCCTGTCAGATGAACAGCTAGCCAGTGTTTTTCTCCCATTATGTTGGCCCTTTTCTTCTCTGTGCAGAAGCTTCTAAATCTCATGAGACCCTATTTGTCAGTTGCTGACATTATTTCCTGAGCTAACAAAATCCCTTTCAGAAAGTTCTTGCCTTTGCTTGAGTTCTGAAGAGTTTCCACCCAGCCTCCTGGCAGTTTGACAATTTCTGGTCTTACATTAAGATATTTGATCTGTTTGGGGTAATATTTACCAGTTAAGTGTTAGACAGTTTTATTCTTCTACACGTGGATATCCAATTTCCCCAGTGTCACTTGCTGAAGGGGCTACATTTTTTTCCAATGTATGCTGTATGTGGTTTTGCATCCTGACCAAAAGTCAGGTGCTGATCTCATTGTGGCATTTTATCTCTGTCCTTTATTCTGTCCCACTGAGCTGCATGTTCTTGTTCAATACCACACTGTTTATGTTTCTGTGGCTCATAACTTGGCATCAGATATGGAGAGAACTCCAAAGTTTTCCTTCTGCTCAAGATTATTTTGGTTATTTGTGATTTTTTAATGCTTCTGCATGATTTTCACATTTATTTTTCTTTCTATTTCTGTGAATGACATTGGACTTTTGATGGTGGATTGTATTGAATCTGCAGATTAATTTTAATAGGATGGCGATTTCCCCAATATTAATTCTTATCTATGAAGATGGGAGGTCCTTCCTTCTAGTATCTTCTTGATTTTCATGTTTTAATATTTTCATTGTAGAGGTCTTTTACATTCTTGGTTAGCTTTAAATCCAAGGTTTTGTTATAATATTAGATCAATGTTTACTGTAGATTGTTCACCGTAGCTAAAGTATGGAACCAAGGTAGAGGCTAAGCAGTGGAGAAATAGTAAAAGCATAGTGTATATACAGATTTCAGATGATGAGGCTTTTAGGAAGGGCTCCTGGGGAAGGTTACCAGGCCACCTGTGTTCCACTCAAAGAAATGGGAATGAAATTGTTTTCATAATTTATTTCTCAGTATGTTTGTCATTGGTATATTGGATGGGTACTGACTTTTGTATGCCAGTCTTGGGCATGCCTCCCACTTGCCAAAAACACTTATCAGCTCTAAGAGTTTCCTGGGTTACTATTCTGAGTCTCTTATGTACTGAACCACATTATCTGCATATTAACCTTAATTTGACTTTTTCCTTTCATAATTGTATTTCTTTTAGTTTTTTTTTTCTTGCCAGACTGCTTTAGCTAAGTTTCTAAGCACAACAATGAACAATAATAGAGGAACTGGACATCCTTACTGAATTCATGATTGTACTTGAAATGCTTTCAGTTTTTTCCCATTTAGTACAACATTGGCTATAGGTCTATCATATATTGCCTTTATTGTATTGAGACATGTTCTTTGAATTTCTTGTTTCTTCAGAATTTTTCTTGTATATTGATGCTGCATTTTACCAAGAAGTCTTTTACTTGTCTTTTGTCATAGGATTTCTGTCCTAGAGTCCATGAATGAATATAATATATTGCATTCATTAATTTGCACATCTTGAAACACCTCTGCATCTTAAGAATAAAACCAACTCAGTTGTAAGGAATGATATTTTTGATGTGTGCACATGCATGCACAAGCATATGAGTTCAGACGTGTGCATACGTATCATGTGTGTGGAGGTCAGAGGACAACCTCAGGTGTCAACTCTTATCTTTCACAGTCTTGAATATAAGGTCTTTTTTTGTTTGTCACTGCATACTGATGGGCAGCTGGTTTTCAAGTTTTGTACATTATTTCTCTGACTCCATCTCACCAAAGGAGCCCTGAAATTCTTGTGTCTTACTGTATATGGTTTCTGTATATTCTATTAAAGGTCTTGTGCTTATACAGCAAGTACTTTTTACTCACTGAACTATACAATTTACAAGTATTTTATTGATAATGTTTATATCCATATGAATCAGAGAGATTGGTCTATAAGTTTAATTTTTCTATGACTTTATATAGCATTCATATCAGGATAATAATGGCTTTACTGAGTTTGGTAGCATCCAATCTCTGTATTTAATAGAATAGTTCAAAAAATATTGTTACCAGTTAGTTTTTACAATCTGACAGAATTCAGCATTGGAACAATTGGGCCTGGGCTTTGAGCTGGAAGATTTTTATAATAGCTTCAGTTTGTTGTTTCTAAAGTACAGCATTAGTTGTTTATTATCTTATCATGGCTTAATTTTTTTGTTTGCTACATGTATCTAGACTTTTTTTCAGAGTGGTATAATAAATGTCTTTAAAGCTTATCCTAATAATATGATATATATTATAATGTTAATGTATCACTGATATCTGCCATAATTTCTGGCTTTCATCTTTGATCTTATTAATGTGAATTTTGTTTCTTTTTCTTTGTATTAGTTAGGCTAAGAGCTTGCCAATCTTTATTTTCTTTTGTTTTTTCTTTTCTTTTCAAACAACTGATTTTTTTTCCAATAGTATTTATTTATACTTTATTTATTTATTTATTTAGTATTAATTATTCTTTGTTTCTATCTCATTAGTTTCTGCTGTGATCTTAATTGTTCTTAGCTACTTACCAACTTCAAGTTTTCTTGTTCTTTTTGTTCTAGGCTCTAAGTTACATCATTAAGCTATTTATTTCAGATCTCTCTGATTTTTGAATGCAGTCATCTGTAGGTCTAAGTTTCTTCTCAGGACTCTTTTCAGTTCACTTTAGGTTTCATACATTCATTGTATTTTCAGTTTTATTTAATTATATGACTATAAAGTCTTCTTCTTGATTTCTTGAATGAATTATTAATTAAATAGTGTATTGTTCAATCCATGAATTCGTGTTCTGTGGTTTCTCTTGCTGTTTGCTTTAGGTTTTATCTAATCATTATGGGATAAAATAGACAAATTTGCTTCACACTTTTTATATTTATTAGGCTTGGCTTTGTGTTCTATTGTATAACCTCACTAAGAAAAGTTTCATGTGTTGTTTATACTCTTTGTTCTCAGTATTCAGATGAGATGTTGTACAGGTATCTATTCAGTTGTTTGATCTATGATGTCACTTAGCTCATGTTTCTCTATAGATACGATGAGCTGTCTGTTGATGAGAATGAGATATTAAAATTGTTGGGATTAGATTTACATCTAATGTTTGTTTTATGAAATCAAGTGTTCTAGTGTTCATTTGTTTACAAGTAAAATACCCTCTTGCTTGATTGTTCCCTTAGTCAGTATGAAGTTACTTTTAGAGTAATTTTGGTTTGAAGCCTATTTTGTCACATGTGAACAGTAACTCCTGCTTGCTTTATTAGAATCTCTTTCCCAGGCCTTTTTTGTTTTTAACTTGAGGTTGTAGGTCTCTATTTACCTTTGATGGCGAGGTACAATTCTTGGAGGTAGCAAATTGATGGATTCTCATTTTAAACAAAAACTGCTAGTACATTTCTTTTGTTTAAGGAATGAAGACTATGTGCATTCAGAATTATTATTGAAAGGTGCATATTAACTACAGTAATTTTGTTGGTTTGCTAGAGTTTGGTGTTTTATTAATTCTCACTACTGTCCTATCACAGTTTATTATTATTTTTTCTGGTAGACCGATGGATGTGTTCTTTTTTTTTTTCTTCTCTAAAATAGTTCTATAAGTGTCAATTTAGGGCTTCAATTAGTCAATTAGTAGTTACAAATTCTTCTAGTTTCTGTTTATCATGGAAAAATTCTTCGATTGTTATGGGTAGTTTTGTAGAATATAGTAGTTAGAGTTTACTGATTTTATCTTTCAGAGTTTTAAACACATCATCCCAAGCCTGCCTGTTATTCATGTTAGATCTTTTAGTTGTGTCCTCAAATGTCATATTCTGTTTGTAGCTTCCTCTTCACTATCTTTGTAATTATCTGAATGTTCCATTTCGTCTGCCTTGTCTTCAAGCTCCAACAGTTCCTCTTCTTGATCCACTCTGTTAGGCTTTCCAAAGAAATTTCATTGGAATTATTAAATTTTTCATTTTCATTTCAGCTCATTTTTCTCAGTAAGTCTGCTCCCCCATGAAGTTTACTTTTCTTTATTTCCATATAGATTTTCTTATTTCATTCATGTGTTCTCTTGTATTCTTTCATATGTTTTGTCCTCTTAGATTAAAACAATTACTTAAAACAATTTTTTTAAAAATTCTTTTCCTGGGGTTTTCTTGAACTCACTCTCATTGCATAACATTACTGTGGGATCAATAATGTTTTTAGGAGTATTAATACTTGGAATTTTCATGTACTTAGTTTTTTCTTTGTATATGCACATTGAGAAAAGCTGTTTGTGAGATTAAAAAAAAATCAACCTTATTCTTTGAATAGACATGTTTTCAGTGTTCCTGAGGGACTAGGTATATCTGACATACTCCCTTCCTTCCTTCCTTCCTTCCTTCCTTCCTTCCTTCCTTCCTTCCTTCCTTTCTTCTCTCTCTTTCTCTCTTTCTCTCTTTCTCTCTTTCTCTCTTTCTTTCTTTCTTTCTTTCTTTCTTTCTTTCTTTCTTTCTTTGAAATTAATTTTTATTGGATATTTTATTTACATTTCATATGTTATCCCCTTTCCCCATTTCCTCCCCCACCCAGAAAGCTCCTATCCTATCCTCCCTCTTCCTGATTCTATGAGGATGTGCCCCCACCCACCTACCCATTCCCACCTCCCTGCCCTGGAATTCCCCCACATTGGGGCATCCAGCCTTCATGGGACCAAGGACTTCCTCTCCCAACTATGTCTGACAAGGCCATCCTCCCCTACATATACAGCTGGAGCCATGAGTCCCTCCCTATGTGCTCCCAGGCTGGTGGTTTAGAACCTAGGAGCTCTGGTTGGTTGGTACTGTTGCTCTCCCCATGGGGCCACAAACCCTTTCAGCTCCTTCAGTCTTCTCTCTTACTCCTCAATTGGGAATCTCATGATCAGTTCGATGGTTGGCTGTGAGCATCCGTTTCTGTATATGTCAGGCTCTGGCAGACCTCTAAGGAGACAGCTATATCAGGTTCCTGTCAGCATACACTTCCTGGCATTCACATCAGCATCTCCCTTTGGTGACTGTACATGGGATGGATACCCAGGTGGAGCAGTCTTCAGACTGCCCTTCCTCCAGTTTCTGACCCACACTTTGTCTCTGTATTTGCTCCCATGAGTATTTTGTTACTCCTTCTAAGTAGGACCAAAGCACCCATACTTTGGTCTTCCTTCTTCATGAACTTCCTGTGGTCTGTGAGTTGTATCTTGGGTATTGAGAGTTTTTGGGCTAATATCCACTTATCAGTGAGTGTATACCATGTGTGTTCTTTTGTGATTGGGTTACCTCACTCAGTAAGATATTTTCTAGTTCCATCCATTTGCCTATGAATTTCATGAATTCATTGTTTTTAATAGCTGAGTAATACTCCATTGTGTAAATGTACCACATTTTCTGTATCCATTCCTCTGTTGAAGGACATCTGGGTTGTTTCCAGCTTCTGGCTATTATAAATAAGGCTGCTATGAACATAGAGGACCATGTGTCCTTGTTATATGTTGGAGCATCTTCTGGGTATATGCCTAGGAGTGGTACAGCTGAGTCCTCAGGTAATGCTATGTCCAATTTTCTCAGGAACTGCCAGACTGATTTCCAGAGTGGTTGTATCAGCTTGCAATCCCACCAACAATGGAGGAGTGTTCTTCTTTCTCAGCATCCTTGCCAGTATCTGTTATCATCTGAGTTTTAAATCTTAGCCATTCTGACTGGTATGAGGTAGAATCTCAGGGTTCTTTCGATTTGCATTTCCCTGATGACTAAGGATGCTGAACATTTCTTTGAGGTAGAGAGACTTCTCCCCTCCAAAAGATAAGAGAAATCTTATCTTTTGGGAAAGCCTATGAAAAGGGATATTAGAAAAAATACAGGCAGGAAAAACAGATAGAAAAAAGAAAGAACAAAACCAGTGAAGAACATAGCTGGCCTGCTAAATAGATACCAGATAGCAAGTAAAGGAGACAGACATGTGAAAGGGGGAGACAAGTCTAGGGCTTCAGAGTAAATATAGCTGCTAGCCTGGGTTCTGGATCTGGTTATGAGTCTTAGGTTTCACCTCCACCCTATATGATCTTTTACAAGTTGTAACAATGGCATCATGCACACCTCGGGTTGGGGGTGTCTCTTACTATGTTGGTTAAAAATGCTGCTAATAACTCTCAGTTATGTTTTACATGGTTTTGTTAGCAAGAGAATCTTCACAAGTTGAATCGAAAATGCTGGTTTTAGCCCTGGTTCTTTCCAATGTCTAGCCCCTGTTGGCTTGCTCAGTTTCTCCTCTACTGTTCAGAGCTGTTATGCTTTGGTTATCACATTGTGCTGTTCAGGAGGGTCTAGGGTGACCAAGCCATTGATCTAGTATGGCAGTCTTTTTAAAACTGGAATGCCACAGGATCAGCAAAATGACTTAGTAGACAAAAGTACTTTGCCACCAAGCTGGATGACTTGATTTTGATCTTCAGAACCCATATGATAGAGAGAGAAAATTGATTCCAATAAGTTGTCATCTCATAATGTGGGTGACCCCCAAATTAATAAATGTTATAAATTAAAATTTTTAAATGATACCTTCTCACTATTCTGGTTTAATGGAAAAAAGTATTTCCTGTTCCTTCTCTCTGGCTAATGCTCTGGTAGTGGTGACCTTTTTACCCCCTTCTCTCTCTTTTCTGTCATTTAAAATATGTGTTATTGAAAATACAGTTCAGGTTTCTGAGACCTTCTATCTTAAGCCCTGGCTTAGTCACCATCAGGTGTTGCTGTCTCTGTCACTGTAAGGAAAGAGGTCTACATACTAGGTCAATCACTCCAAGACAACTATGGACTTCTATCCAGTTCTGCTCTGTAAAAATCCCAATTTTTCTTTGCTACTGGAACTGGAGTCCTTCAGATAAATTTTATTAACTTTCTCCAGTTTATTCCATAGATATTCTATCCAACCATATCTGCATGATATATGCCATTGTAAACATCTTTTGTATTTAATAAATATCCTAATTCTGAATTGTAATCAACTAAAGTGAATATCACTACCAATTATTCCAGTTTTTAAAAGGTTGATGTATTTATTTCTTTTACATTTTCTCAACTCCAGATGTTTCTAACAGTTGATGTACAAAATTTCAACTTTTTTCTAGTGTTTATTTCTACACTTTTCCTCACAATGACATGGATGTATTGCTGATTGTCTCTTTAATAAAAAAATTCAGTACCAATGACCTTGACTTTTGTCAATATTTCTTTAACTATGAATAGATATGAGGCGTATAGTCAGTAAACTAAACACCATTGCTCTAAGTGTGCTTTAAGCACAGATCTCATTCTGTGCTGAAGACTTCTTGCTACAGAAGTACAATTCAATGACATGTAGAAACCAAAGGATGTAAATATAGGTTGCAGTTTTGAATTGCTGAGTAATAGGATGAATATTTGTTCCAAGTTAAGGCTCCAGCATGGAGAAAATAATTTTACTGATTTTAATAAATTAACATACAATGGCATTATATTAGGCAGCATTTTGAATTTGATTTTAAATCCATGAAAATATGTAAAAGTGGTTAGAAAAATAATGGAAAATAAGAGAAAAATAATGTGCTTTGACTAGCAACACACACAAATGCATATGTGAGGTGGCGAAAGCTATGCTTGAAGTTTTTCAATTTCATCCTTGTTCATACTTTTTAATAAAAGAACTGGGAAATTAGCTTTGTCTGGTGTTCTGGAAACTGTTAGTCCAATCAGCTAGGGTGAGGTCAGAGTAGGTCCTCTTGCTTTCTCCTAATGGTGCTTTGTTTTCTCACCACCAACAGCAGTGGGAACCATGACATGGACCTTACCCAAGTGCTTCTGCGCAAGTTCGGAGATCAGGACTCTGTTTGTTCTGATGCTCACTGGTAAGTGTCTGGTGCCCTCAGCACAGCAGAGAATACAACACTGGCAGCTCTGGAGACCAAAGTGATGCTTCCCTCGAGGATGGGTTAGTCTGTGTTCCCACTTAGGCTACATGGAGTGAAAGTCAGCATAATAAGTAAAGCATTAATGGGTCTAATTAGTGGTTCTAATTAATGGGTCTCATTTTATGGAATGGCTAGGAACAAACTGCCTAATTACTTCTTTCTACCTTTCATAGACACATGCTCTGGAGGACTGAAAAAAATAAATAGTATTCCTCTGAAAACTCAGACCAAGAGGAATTAAGCAATTAAGCATGAATTATTTGTTTACTGTTATTTATTTTAAAGAATACTTACACATATTGAGACATCATTGGCATATTTTTTTACTATTTTATTGTGTTCTTATACCTCTACCCACCTTCCAACTGTAATTCCACCCTAATCCTTCCAACCTTCTAACACTGGGTAGGTGAGATAGGAGGTTATAGGGGAAAGGGGGCATAGACCTCTTTCATCCAACAAAATAGACTATTTCCTGCTGATTAGGGGCACTGAACTTCTTGGCGCAAGTTCAGTCTCTATCATCAGGACATCTCCAACTTCTTTGCTCACAAACCCTTGACAAGCCACCTCAACAGGATCTAGCTGCAGCTGGGGAAGAATGGCTTCCTCAGAGCATACCTGGAATCCCTTTTGAGGGTCTGGTGTAAAGGGCTCTGAAGAGTCCCCAGAATTCCAACTGTAGACTATGTGCAACCTGCAAAAACATGCCCCTGCTATTGCATGAGGCAATGATAGTTAACTGCTATGAAACAGCCTCTCACCAGGCTGGGATTAAAACAAAAACATATTCATACAACATAACTGAGTTTTTTAAGAAATCAAAATTCTTACTACAATACATTATTTTTAACTTAATAGGTCACATGCACACACACACACGGTAGTTTTCTTTTTTTGTCTTACTTCACTGTTTACAAACAGTTCTACTCATTGTAGTTACATGATTTGATTTTTATGGCTAAATAATATTCTACTGTGTATTCATGCCACATTTTTAATATGTACTTAGTATCTTGATATGAAGAAGCTAATGTAAACTCAACAGCTTTTATGAAATAATCAAAATAAAAAAATAGTAACTGTTTTCTCTCATGGTCCTGCCATGTCTGGGTGACCACAGACATGCCATTTAAACTTAGTAAACCTTGATTTCCTTCTGTAGTAGGAAACTGTTTATCTAACTTACTTATTTTGTTGGTAAATTGAATAATAGAAAGTTTGATGCAAAGATAAACTCAGGGATGTATGTCATGGTACCTGGCAAAGGCGTACAAGCAGTAGATATTATTACTATTATTGTTGCTGCTGCAGCTTCTGTTGTTGTTAATTACTATTTTGTTTTGTTTCTGATTTGGCATCTTAAGTATCCAAGACTGACCTCAAAGTTAGTATGTGTATCTGAGTCAGATCTTGAACTCCTGATCCTTATTGTTTCCTTTCTAGTGCTAGGATCACAGATTTGTGCCTCCATGCCTTAAAGGGTGTTACAGTGTTGTAATCAAAGGTGTGTGCCTCTATGCCTGGAAGGCTATTACTATTAAAGGTATTAAAAATTCACAGCTTCCAGAATGCTTTTGCTTCTTCTGGTCTATTTCAATCCTACCCAAACCCTGAGATAAGTGAGAGACTGTCTCATCTTATATGAGGAAACTGAATTTCAGAAAAAGTTTATTAATTGTTCAAGGATTCATAAAGGGCAATTAGTGGGAAAAGCTACAACTTCATGACATCCCATTTGCCACTACTCAACACCTCGACCAATGTTTCCATCTGTTTGCCTTGTTTCGTGTCCTCTGGATTGTAGCTGCTATTTTATGTTTATGGATAAGAGGTCTACTGGCCTTTTTTTTTTCTCAATTTACTTAAACAGTTTTTTGAGATTATAATATAATTATAACATATATTACTTCGATTTCCTCTTTCCAGGTCCTCCCATATACCTCTCCTTTCACCCTTTTAAATCTACAGCCTCTGTTTTCATTGTCATTGCATACGTATATGAATATATATAGATATTCTCCTAAATATAACCTATGCAATCTGTATAACCTTACTTTTACTTAAATTTTTAGTCATTTGCTCTTCTCCTGAGACTATTTCTCCTCCTTTCAGTGTTCTCTAGTTGCCTGCAGTTCTTTGTATAGGGTTGAGGCTTCATGGACTTTCTCCCAACCACTTTGGAGTGTCTACTGGTGTTTTCCATGTTCAACTCACATTTGGGTAGTCATATTGGTGAGACTTAATGAGGTAAAATATAAATCTGTGTTTAAGACTTAGAATCATGATCATTTAAAAAACGACCATATTGCATTTAAGTGATGACCTCCAAAGAGTTAGCTACATTTAAATACATTACCTTCTTCCTCTAGATATCCTTTCAAGCCCATAAATTAGAACCATGACTGAGGTTTTACATATTTAAATTCTCAATTTTTGCTATTAGTATTTTGCAAATTTCATATATTTACAACAACAGCAACAACAGCAACAAGAACAACAACAACAGCAAAAGTATAAAAAGTCAGCCTGTCAATATGTGTTGATTTCTTTGAAGAAGGCTGTTTTGGGCTCTGAGAGTAACAGTGTGGGAGGGGAAGGTGCCTGGCTTCTGAACCCTGGTAAAGCACTCCTTGCTTCATAAATGCTTCTATTACAGTTTCCCCTATTATTCCTTGAGGATGCACTTCAAGTCAAGTATTATTAGAGGGACCAAGATAAATGCAAAGAATCTTCTCCTAAGAAATTTATAATTACAGATGTAACAAATGAAGTGATAGATAGAAGCCATGATAGTGTCCTGGACACTACATGTCTGTCTTTTCAGTAATATACATAAGAACCCAGACAAAAATAATTAGATATATGTTTGCTAGTTCATGGTGACGTATTTTGCTCATTAGTCATGTTGGTAATTAGTTGAGACTGAGTAACTTTTGATGGTCTCAGTATGGAAGGATTACAAGAAAATTAATTACGTTGCCTCAGTTCAGTCTTCTCTTGGAAGACAAAGGACTTTATCCAGTGAAGGGTTCAAAGGTGATATTTTCATTTTCTCTTCTCTACTAAAAACACACAGGATGTAAAATACAAATCCCTCCGAGGAGCAGAAACAGGAGCACATGTAATCCATCTTTGGTCTAATGACATATCAAGGAAAGAATGGTTAGCAGAAAAATAGGACAATTCTTTTATCCATTCTTTCAAAAGGAAAACATCCAGGTGAAATCTGTGCTTTATGAATGGCAGAAGATGCTCATTATTCTGTCTGTACATCCAGCTCATTTCCTCTACAATGCTGTCATGGACCCCCTACCCCACCCCCACAGTCTCTAGATCCTTTCGTTGTCCAGAACTAGTGCTCAGGATAAGCTAGCAGGCTGGCTCGATGGTGATAGTGGTTCCTGGCACTGCTTCTGGCTAGGCTCATCTGTGAAGATAAATGTGAAGATAAAGGGTAGAAAGCACAGAGTATGAATCTGAAACATCCAGGTGCAGGCGGAGAACACAGCTGGATCCCAGGCTGCCTTAGTCAGATCTCACCCTCACTGACTCTGTCACTTAGATAGCTTACTCAACCACTATCTGCCTCTGTTATCACTAATGTGTTTACACTTTGGCACAAATAACTTTCACCTTGAACTGCAAAGTGAGCCCTATGAAGCTTCTATGACACTTTAAGCAAGTTCATATCTCAAAAAAACCAGTTTTTGAGGAAGAAGGAGGTCCTCACAGCATCTGTTCCTCTATTTGAGATTTAAGGTACATGTTATACTATTAAAAACTCCAGGAATCTCTAGCAGAAAAGATAGCCCAAAGGATAGGGACCATGTTTAAAGTCCATTGAACTCAGAAACAGCAACACTGTTGTGTGCTACAGTACACATAAGGGATATTCCCTGAAAACTCCAATTGTATTTAGATAATATCTAGAATAAAACTTACAAAGTTGTGTGTGATTTGTAACAAGGAATTTTATTTGCCTGTCTCTATGAATGCTTGTAGAGCTTCACAGAAATCTTTGAATGCAAAAATGGTTGGAGGCGGAGATGCTCAAAAGCCTCCAATATGTTAAATATTGTCATATATTAGCATTCAAACCTTAGGAAAAATTTTTCTATCAAAGAAAGCTAAAACAATACCAGAAGATTAAGATGGGACAATAAGGACTTTAGAAACAACTCATTAAATTATACAAAGTCAAATTACTCCTTTCTGTGGCCATAGTGCTAATCCTACTGAACTAGAGTAAAGGCTACTGACGCAAATTTTTTGGTCAAATTCAGCAGGCTTTATTTTCTGTCAGACAGGGCTGTCTTTCTAAAGTGGGCTTTGAGAGAATAGTCCAAAACACAGGAGAAATGTTTTTATTGTTTTATTTTATTACTTCTAAAACCTGCAAGGCTAGGGGCTTTCCAAAAGGTTTTGTTTATGTTTTAACGTGGTAGAACATCTTATCTTATTAGGGTGGAGGTTAGGGTAAGGGGTGTGGAAAATGTCAAATTCTAGAAAATGGGTCAGGACATGGCCAAACAAGTTTTTCAGAAAACACAAAAGAGCTTACTTTGATCTTGTAACAAGACAGCTTATAATCTTACCATGGAATCAGGCTGCTCCATTAATAACAAAATACTTGGGGCAGGGTATTGTTTTAGAAAAAGAGGTTTATTTAGCTCAGAGTTCTGTTGCTGCAGAACACGGTATGAGCATCTGTGTGGCCCTGATGAGCAGCATGACAGTTGATTTGACAATGGTGGGTGACATGTGAAAGAGAATGTATGTCAAGGTAGCTAGCCAGAGACCAGGCTAGCCCTGCTTGTGGCAGTGTGCTGTAAATCTGCTGTGAGCTCTCGTAGGCTAAATAAGTAGAGTCCCATGGGAACAACAAGTCTATTCCGAGAGTATATGTTTTCAGTGATTGAATTGCCTTGCACCAGGCTTCCCTTCTCAGATAGTCTACCCTTCCAAACACCACCTCACTAAGACCAAACTGTGGCACACATGGGCTCTGCCAGAGAGGCCTCATCTACACCCCAGCCTGCAATCCCTTGAATATCATTCAAGGTACCTGCAGCAAAAAGTACCTCCTGCTGGATGTAAGAGATGCAAAGACTCATTCTTTTTTAAAAACAAAACTAATTAGATTATTGCCATCTGGCTAAAACATGCAACTCCCTTAGGCACTGTTTCCATGTTAGCTAACTGGAATCCCTATGAGCTAACTATCCAAAATATTAATACTAGGGAAGTCTGTGATCACCTTTAGTATTTAGAAAATTGTATGGAAATTATATTTGCTGTCCAGGTAGCTGAATTGACAAGGATATTTTTGTTGAACTGTTTTTTTCCAACATGATGTTATTTCCCTATCTCTCTTCCATTGGAATAGCTCACCCATGCAGAGAGCCTGGGCTTACTATTCAGCTTGGTAGACCAGTCCTTCTACTGTGTGACCACCAACTAATGGCTTAAAGTCTTAAAGCTGCTACCCTTGCCTTGAGATCTGAGAAGCAGGGTGAGGAAAGGGATAAGATAAAACTAATGTGAATTTTACCTTCTCTCAATATTTGAGTAATTCAGACTAATTATCTGAACTAACGTAAAATTTGACTTCCAGTTATAAAAACCTTACTGTCTGGAATGTTCAAGGATAAAAATCTACAGAAAAAAACAGAACATAAAAGTTTTTCTACAGCCAGAAAGATGGCTCAGTGGTAAAAGAACTTGTGGTCAAGCCCTAAGACCTAAAACCTGAACTTGATCCCTGGGACCCATATGATAGAAGGAGAGAACTAACTAACTAGCCGACTGACCAACTAAGTCCAACAGTAAGTCTCTGTTCTCCACACTTGCATTATACCATGTACTCCCCTATACACACACACACACACACACACCACACACACACACACACACACACCACACACACACACACACACAGAGAGAGAGAGAGAGAGAGAGAGAGAGAGAGAGAGAGAGAGACAAGTATATAAATGTAGGATACAGTTTAAGAGTTGTTTATTCATTGCTATCCACTGTCTCCCAAACCCTCGCCATCTTTCCTCCTGTGGAAACTTAACTGTAGCTCTTCTCTCAGTGACTAAGTTACTATGACATGACACAGAAATGAATAAACATGTCAATCTAATGCAATTAATAAGCAATTACTAGTTGCTTCTTGATATCTGCTTACGATCTGAGAGTCTTGGGGTCCACACAGAGCCTGGATAACACGCTCAGCATGAACAGCCAAGTAATCCCTGTGTCACATCATGAAATCTTGGCATGGTCATAAACCATTGTCATCAGTGTAGTAGCTCACACTGTGAAAACAAAAGCCAGAGTTCTGTCTCAGTGACAAGGAGGTGGCCATCTTGTGGCCAGTGTTTTATTGTGACAGAAAATGCTTTTTATGGAAATAAAGTAGCTTTTCATTAAACTATCTTTCCAATGTTCTGTTTTTTCCCTTTTAGGATGAATTCTTCAAGCTGGCATAGAGACCGTTATTCTGGCCCAGAATTCCAGGACTCATGTGGCTGCCTGGTATGTCGTTGAAGCACAATTCACCATTTGAAATATAAAGCTCAAATAATAATAATAATAATAATAATAATAATAATAAGTAGTAGTTTCCATCTGCCTAATCATCATTTTTGTTGCTTAAAGTCTCTTAATGTCTACATTACTCACTTGTGGAGATTTTTCATCCCTTACAGTGAACATGACACAGCCTTCTACAGACCCTGCTGCCTGCTCATTCCCTGCTCACATCTATAGTTTCCCTACCATCTCCATTGCCTACTGATTCCCTGCTCATACCTCTTAATCATCATCCCCACTAGAATAGATTGAGCATCTGAATCCTCTTCAGTTAGAGATTAGAAACTGGACTTCCCCTTTGGGGGCGATCTCACATCTCAAGACGGGGTGACTTCAAGGCTTTCTTCATAACTTTATTCAAGTTCTAGGAACTAGACATCAAAACCTAAGCCACGACTTCGGACTTCTGATATGATTGATGAACACAGATATATAAAAATAGATATTCTGCTTTTGAGGTAAAGGCTATAGCTATGTTACCTGTGAAGAGAAACGAAGTAAAATTTATTTGGAAAATTGATTGTAGTTAACCTCAGAGGTAATAGCAGAAGGTAATTAGTGAAAAGCTTAGATCTGTTGACTACAACCAACCATTAGATGTGTCAATCTTAATTTGCCTTTTAAAAGGGTAAGGGTATAGTTCAACTGATAGAGTGCTTGCCTATCACACACAAAGCCCTAAGTTTGAGTCCAGCATCAAATACAGTAGTCATAGAGGTTGTGGCTGTGATGCCAGGACTCTGGAGGGAAACAAGGAGGTCGTCTTCACTCATCATCCATAAAGGGAAGGACCATATGGAGAACACATTCACGGGCCTTTTTACTTAGTGGCCCACAGAGTTCATTTATTTCAGCAGCTTAGTTATATTAGAGAGTTGGCTTCTGAATAGTTTCATTTGCTTTCTTCTCATAAATAAAATTGAGGAAGTAAAAGAGAAAGACAATACAGCTACATAGTGGGGAATTGTGAGGACTGATGGCTCTAAGGTTAGTGGACATCATGCAGTGGACATCATGTTAGTGGACACTGTGGTCAGAGAACTCACCTGCATGCCTTGCCTCTTTGTACTGGCCAAAGGATTTTTTTCTTCATTTTTCTATTTTATCATAAAACCTTTAACATTGTGCTCTCAGTGCTTGCTCTGGAGCCTGAATTTAGTCATTCAGTTATAGTAATAGCTTTTCTCATCACAAGTCTAAAGTCTATTTGGGTTAGATAGGGTTTCAAGGGATAGAACGAATAACTCTCAGAATGGTATTATGGCTCCCACTTCAGCCCAGTTCACATGAAATTTAAGATATCAGTTAATATTCATGCAAGAAAAGAAAGATGCCAAATGAGCACCATCTGTGGGCAAACACATTTCAGGAACAGTGGCTAAAACAGCATTGGTATTGCTTCTCTAAGGAACTATTCTATATGACTTTTCTTTGAATAGGTAGCAGGGTGGACAGTATGCAGCACTGTCAGCAAATGCTTTGACTAAAGAATCACTTCCTACTTCCCCTTCTCCTCTTTCTCCCTTTCCCCAATCTTCTCTGTCCTTCTCCTGCTGGGCTTTGTGCTGCTTCTACTTCTCCCCCTCTCTCTTCTTCCTTCCTCCCTCCCTCTCTCCC